TTTCGAACTCACTGGGGTTGCCTTGTTGGGGTCAGGACTTAGGGTCGTGGTCATATTGATATTAGAGCTAAAGTACAATAAAGTATCATACAGGATATATATAAGAAGGTAGAATGAATAGAAGCGGACCCGGGCCGAAGGCCGAAGGGTCCGGAAGCAAACAGGAACAAAGAGCGGGGTTGGCCGCATAGCGGCCGGCAATGACCGAGGGTCAAACAAACAATAACAGATAAATAAAGGAAAGAGCGTAGGGCCGCGATAGCGGCGATGGTATCATAGTAGCGCTGGACTCGGAGTTGGGCCAGAGTCAGGCACAGGGATGGTAGCGGCCCTGTAGGGCCAAGTGGGCAAGGTAGAGGAGTCGCGCTAGGCACGGTGCCGGAGGCGGACTCAGGGCGGGAAGGTTGGTGTGGCTGTAGGGGAGTCGGCCAGGTGCAGGGGAGCCTAGGGGCAAGCGGGGGAGTGAGCAGGGAGTCCTCATGGAGGATAGGGCTGAGGTCGGGGCTCGCACTCACACTCGCATAGCGGGAATGGGCTCGGGCGGCATCGGGATGGGCGGCTAACGGGCCGGAATGCATGATCGTGACAGGTCGAACCCTTCGAACTTTCCACTCCTGCCAGAGTTGACGCACATAGAGAGACTTGTTTGCGTGCCATTACATGGGATAGGATATCAACTGGGAAGGACACGTACACCATTACAGTACTCAATCTTGAACCTGTGCACACCCTTGTCACATTCACCACCCATAGCGAGCGCTGTCAAATGCACCCATGGAAACCAGCATGGCTGCCCGTTTTGGCAGGACCCCCCCCATATACTCTGAGTCGTTCACTGAGAGGAGATCACCCGCTCGCGTCGAGGCTGTCTGCCACCTCTCGGCACCAGACTGTATCACCATGTTCCCAACATTGCTTGGTTGCCTGGTCGAGATATGGTACCTGTGGACAAATAGTGTGTTAAAACAAGCTCGATGCCGTACCTGGAACAAGATCACGGGTCTCTGATACGGTCTTGCAGCATGTTGGCATGTATATGTACCCATCTGTGTCCTTGCCCACATATCGATGGTTCTATGGTCGACTTCAGTTCACAGGCATGCAGGAGCAAATACTGGGTGGAGGGGACTTCCCTTACTTGAGGATCCAATCCACTGAAGGTGTGACCACCAATAGAAGAGAGCTTACAATTTCTCGTGGTTCTCTGTGCATGCAACCCGAAGCCAGGTCGCTCAAGGCGCATTTCGAATGATGAGCCTACACGAGATCTATACCAGCCCCCAGTAGGCCTGGAAGGCCTTGGAGCGACAATGACGATGCGATAGCCACCCAAAACCCAGAAGTGGGAACTGTCCTAGTTTGAGCAACGGACGGTTTCCATTTTGGATGAAGTCCCCAAAGTCCACTCGAGCATCAGTTATCCAACTTGCAGGTCATACACCACGATGCCCTTGCGATGTCTGGGTTGTTCTTGGTAGTCATCTGGCCAGCTGCCAGGCTGCCTTAACCTGGGACAGTGCAACTTCGTCGCTAACGTCTGTTTCCAATGCGAGTTCACAAACGACCCCAAGTCCACAGGTCATCCACTGCCTCACTGAGGGGTGTTGTGGCTAGATTAGACACAATCCCTGTATTGTCTGGAATGTTACATGACTAGCAGTACAGAAGGTACTTCCCAAGTGGCAAGACCCACCCACATGTTGTGTCTGGGCCCGGCCAGGAGACAACATCATGCACCTCCTTGCCTCACTGTTCAGGGAGAACAAATTATACACACTGGCATGGTCCACACTCAAGCCAACACACTTATGTCCGGCTTCACCATCAATGCTATTATGCATGCCCAATACTTCCTCTGCACAGTACACATATCCATCCTGCTCATTGCCGGAGTGCTCACTAGAATGGCCGGACCCTCGAGATGTAATGTGGCAGCTGTTAGACCGACCCACGGCTCAGCAGCTGTTTGATCAGACATGCCTATCTTGCTATATTCCATGTCAATCCCAGCATGTCTAGATTTGTCTACCTCACAATCGGGCCAACTTCGTTAGAGGTTCACACCCACACCATATTCAAGTTCCCTTCCCAGGATGAGACCTACCGGTTCTTGGACTTAGGCTTTCACATACATCCACTCAACCCTAAGGACCCAGCTGTCTGTCAGGTTCTCAGAGAAGGGATTAGAGTCTACTCCGCAATCCAGAGTTCAGAGTGTCAGCCTGTTGTTACCACCTTGCCCCTTTGGACTTTCACACTGGCCCATAAGAGTCTGGGGGGTGATGTTATAGATATAGACTGGAATATTATGGTCCATGGTTGCAAGCAGATGGACCCAGGGCCTTCCCCATTTTACTTCTCCATCAAACCCCATGCCAAGCTTTCCCACCGGGTTTTGGTGCTGGCTGGGGGATTTGTTGAGTTTCAAGGGACTTCCCTTGACCATTATGACTTTTATAATAGATAGTTAGAAGTCATATGATGTGTAAGGCAGATGCCGAAAAATGTCTTTCCTCATCAAATATACAATCTCAGACTATCACCCAGTGATTGTAACTGTCACCCCAGTGTGCCACCACCTGTAAACCTTTCCTGTAACATCTGACTCGGTCCATATTGATGTCTACATCAATATTCTTACAATCCATGAGGAAACCTCAATGACCCGGCGAGTGCTCAGACACCGGACCTCACCCTTCCTGCTCCCACCCCCCACTGGGTGGTTGAGCTCCCATTCCTACCCTTCCTGTCAGGGCAATAGCCCCGAACCCCGAGTCACATGTAATTAGATACATATAGTCACATGGGTAAGCGGGAACCTCCAGGTAACTGCTTACACACTACCATAAAATACACACACTTGTATCACTTACAGCTCTGTGTGCTGAGCTACCCTGAGACCTCACACTTTTTTTAAGTGTATGAGGTGTGTTTTACAACACAACCCACAAAAACTAATCAATCTTAACATCTGACTCGGTAGCACCAATGGCACCTAAACACTCCCGCAAGGGCAAGGTTGCATCTGCAGCAATGCTAAAAAGAAACGAGCAGTTTATTAAGAAACTGCAATCTCCCATCAGGGGAGATTCAAATCAACAGCCGTTGTCAGATGATGATGAGGATCAACATGATCCGGCAATAGCAACCACCTCAGGGCTGGCCCCTGAAGGTTTTAGAAACTTATGTGGAGTAAGTGCGGGGCCTAATACCCCTAGAACTCCACAATATACCAATCTAACCCAAGCTGGGGAAGATCCTTCACCTCCTCACGAGGTGATTGACTTGCACGATAAACGTGTAAGCGCTGAACGATCAGCCCAAAAAGCTGATTGGATAGAGTTGCAGGAAACTCCAGGGCCCAACAATCCCCTGGAGTCCTCCCTCATGTCCCCAAGTCAAGCCCCAAAGGCAGACAAAGGGAAACAAAGGGAAGAACCCCTGTGTAGGCTATCCGAAAAACTACTGGACTTGTTCCAGGTTCCGTCCAAATGGAGGACAGAAAGTGAAGACCAACTTCTTCTCAGGCTGAAAGCCCGAGAAGGCACGAAAAAATGCCCTGAGAGCAGGATCTCCCAGAGTGCGGAAGCTCCAAAAGAACTTCCACTGTTTACACTCCTCCACGCCATGCCAGACAAGGCAAGGTTGCCAACCTCGGAGGAGGTCTCCGAGATAATGAAGAGGAGGTGAACTGAAATGAGGGAGTTCGCTGAGGAAGCCTTACGGAAAAGTAAGGAAAAACCAGCGAACAGACCCCTCTATGAAAGGGAAGCACCCTCTGCAATGGCCTCGCCTAAACAAAGCGAGCATGGAGTGTTCACTCCAAGAACCCCTTCTGGAACCCCAGAAGCGGCAATGTCAACTGGGGAGAGTCACTGCTCGCCCAACCAAACTTCCTCCTGGAAAACCAGGAATCATGTCACGGTCGTGCATTCCGGCCTGTTTCCGGCCCGTCCTGATGCCGCCTGAGCCCGTTTCCGCTATGCGAGTGTGAGCACAAGCCCCAACCTCAGCCCTATCCTCCCTGAGGACTCCCTGCTCACTCCCCCACTTGCCCCTAGGCTCCCCTGCACCTGGCCGACTCCCCCACAGCCACACCAACCTTCCTGCCCTGAGTTTGCCTCCGGCACCGTGCCCAGCATGACTCCTCTACCCCACCCACTTGGCCCCTACAGGGCCACTACCATTCCCGTGCCCAACTCCAGCCCAACTCCGAGTCCAGTGCCACTATGATACCATCACCACTATCGTGGCCCTACACTCCTTCCTTTATTTATCTGTTATTGTTTGTTTTGACTCTCGGTCATTGCTGGCCGCTGTGCGGCCAACCCCGCTCTTTGTTTCCTTTTGCTTCCGGACCCTTCGGCCTTCGGCCCAGGTCCGCTTCCATTCATTCTTTCTCCCTATATATATCCTGTATGTTACTTTATTGTACCTTAGCTCTAATATCGATGTGACCACGACCCCTAAGTCCTGACCCCAACAAGGCAACCCCAGTGAGTCCAAAATGAGGGCCAAGAGACAGCTAGGGGCACAGCACTCCCTTTAGAGTTGCTGAGGCCAAATGCCCTACCCCCAGGCCTTGTTCGCAGCATCACGGCCATTGCGGCCTATAGCGGCCCACAACGGCGACCCTCAGTGCCGACCCTGGACCAGTGTCTAACAAATCATGCATAATAAATGCAATAAACTCGATCCAAAAAAAGATCGAGGAAATAACCACAATAGTACAGCTCATCTAGAGATAACTCTAGAAAGAATGGCCAACGCAATCGACGCATTGACTGAAAAAATCAGCAAACAGAGGGACTTGCTGAAGGAGATAAACTTCTCACAAAAAAGTGAGGAAACAAAAAAACACCCCTGGACCACAGGCCAGGACATGAATGGAACTCATGAAAAATTCACGAAAAGAACCACCAGTGAAAGCACACTGGAGTATCATCAGCGACTCGACAGAGACGCTAAGGAGATCCTTCTCCCAAGGATAGGAGAAGACGATGCCGAAAGAAGGCATTGTTCAGAAATTAGGAGGAGAATTGGCATGTACCAAAGGTTTGGCCAAACGTCCACTTACGATGGACCTCTCAAACAGAGAGGTAACTCAACCACACTCTCTCAAAACAATGAGAGAATCCAAATACAACTTCAGGCGAATTCGCCTGAAACCAAAGAAACGCTGCGAGGAAGATTTCCCCCAGCGAAAACCCCCCCAAAGGAGAGATCTCCATTGGATAGTGACCCTGCGAAGGCAGGGGAGCAAGAGGAGTACCTGGAGAAATGGTACGAAAAGGCCATAAGAATGGCTGAAGTGAGAATACTCACTCCCTACCCAGAAGGAGTGAAGCCTGAAGCTCTAAAAAATGGGCCAGCATTCCCTGACAAGAAATGGTCAGGGGAGAATGACATGTCCATTTTATGTCATTTGTCCAGTCACGCTGGTTTACGTCATAAGAATTTGGAGCTCCGGATAAGTCCAGTAGTCGCACCGGATACAAATTTCCTCACAAATGAGTGCCGCAAACCAACAACCATCTGCGTTGCTAACAGGCACCACATACCCCCAGCCTCCTCAGAGGGGCTTCCAACCATATGCGGTGCAAACTGCACCAATGGTGCAACAAGCGCCATTCCAGGGGCAGCATTTGCTGTTGCAGCCCCAGGTATACTCCCCAGGGAACTTCCCTGGCCAGATCAACCCCTGGATCAGCCAATTCGGCCCAGGTCCAACAACACCCCAGCCAAATGCAGGCTGGGAATCAGCCATCACATCAGCGGTAGCTGCTCAGACAGGTCAGCTCCACGAGGAGCTGAAAGAGATGAAGTCCCTCGTAGGAGGGAGATGAGGGAGTGACAGCGGCTCCTCATCCAGACCGTCCAAATGAGCATGGTCTGATAACTCAAGGGCATCAGAAGACACCTGCGACCATTGCGCCCACTGGAGGCATGAATACAACAGAGCACGAAGAGATGCCGAGGGCATCTTCGACTCTCTGAAAGACACAGAGAGAGAGGTTGATCTCCAAAAGAGGGAGATCGAATTACTAAAATGCGAGCTCAGAGAGGCATGTGCACTGGCAGACCTCGCTGCCAAACCCATTATGATGGGGGCCTCCCAGGTCAGGGGTGTCATATCCATCCCCGGCCATCAACTTCCGGTCCCTCTGTCCCCTCCGGTCCAACTCCACTCCTCCTTCACTAACCTCGGAGCTCCCATATCCCGCAATCCTCTCGGTACCCCTCGATGGTCACCACCCCCTCATTCCAATTTATTACCTATGCCTCCCTAAGTACGGAGCCCCGAAGACCTCCGGACAGCTCCGACGTCCGCTAGCGCACCCCCACCTCCGCCGGGCAATACAATTGCCTGCCCTGCAGAGCCCACCTTCGGGCTTATCCCTCCTTTCCGTTTCTGGGTTATCGCCTGCCTTTCCGCTAACCCTGCGACCCGACTCGTCGGTAATATTCAGTCGGCTAATGTTTATCCCTGTTAGCTCCGCTCCATTCGGCTCTGCCAATTGCGGACCCGTCTTCGCTGTAACCATATATATATCTCCCGCTTGTACATAGGTTACGCTCCAGTAAGAAAATCAACTAGAGTTACCCCCTTAGGTTCTGATTGCCAGTCAGTAAGTTAGGGCACGGACGTGTCACTAGGCACAGCGCTCTTGGCAGAAGTCACTGAGGCTGAAGCCCTCCGCTATGGAGACACTCCCTCGTCTCGAATCTGGTCTCTGACAAGGGGGAGGGGATATGGTTCCAGGCCTCATGAGGTGCGACCCCACATGGGGACTAGCACACCAAGGGGTGGGGCACCGACTATCCTGCCACCCTGTGGGCAGGCAACCCTGTCTGGGTTGCATAAGGGCCCGCCCTCAGAAGGGCAAACCCATGTCGAGGGGAAGAGGGAGAGTGGTAGGCAACTGACGGTGTTGTGGGGACAACTCTGTGCACCGCAAAAAGTCGGATTCTGCGGAATTTGGTCACCAACATGCACTACATATCCGCTGATGCTCCCTATACTCATTCTATCACTATCCAACACTCCATACACTCACTCCATATTTTTTCATATTTTCCCCATCATTCCCGACAACCCCAAGCAAAATTCCCACGCCCAACCATGCCGCCAATTTCACCCCCTCTCCAGACCTCCATACCCACACACACAACCCAGCCGTTTTTCCACCCGATAGTGATGCTATACCTTCCTCCTTTACCCCCAGAGCACTTCCCAGAATGGCAACCCCATACCCGGATGGTTCAGCATGGAGTATACTCTCACGTGGTCTTGACAGCACCTGTCAATGGCCACATCTCAAGAAGTACTGCACCAAATGGGATGAATAGGGGCTCGTTGGAAAGCTGGGGACGAGGAGGTTGCTGACGGGAGGATAGGCGGGCGCTGTGGCGAAGTGTTGCGGGGATAACTTTCACAATTTCCATTTCGGATCCATTATCACATATTGCCCATTCATTCATATTTCTTTTATTGTTTCTTTGTTCCCAATTGGATATTCATCATTTACGGTTGCCTAACGGCCCGTTTACATTCCCCCATGCCATTCATTCCATTTCAAACATATATAAACTAGATAACAACTTGTACATAACAAGTTAGTATTGAATAGACCCGTGAAAGAGAAAGCAGAAGTTGCATCCAAGTGGCAAAGACACCATCCACGACCCTAACGCCCCCTCTGAGCTAGTTGCTCACGTTTAAGACCCCTCACATCATAATACTCAGCCTTGACGTCCAAGAGAGTGTAGGTGAGTGTTTGTTTGAGGTTTTTGCAGACTCGGTAGCGCCACGGACCAAAACCCGGCCCCAGGAACCACACCCATGCACACTACCACCCTCCCCCTTCTCTCTGTCTCGAGTCAAGGTGATTGACCCGTTACAATGGCAGACCCTAAAACAGGGACCACTGCCAGAGGTGGTGGGCCGCTGAGTACCTCAGCACCCTATGGGCAAGCTACCCTGCAGGGAAGTGTCCACATGCTATACGAGACTGCCGAACTCAACGAGTTCGGCAAAGTCGAAGCTCCAGTCGACGTAACAATCGACCCCAACTTCCCCATGAGGAGAATAGCGGGGTCAGAAGTGGTGCACAACACCACATACGCTTGGTGGACAAGCGTAAGTGGGAAAGAATTCGTACACTGGTACGAACAGGCCGAAGCCACCTTCAAAAGCGGCAAGGTACACAGAACCCTTCGCGAAAAAGCGAAGGAAACCGAGAAATACTTCTTGGGACTCCCGAGTATTGCAAGACTTGCGGAGGAGTATAATTCCCTGGAGAACAAAGGAAAAATCTCCTGGGAAAGTCTAGGCAAAGCTGCCTATCTAAAGTCCCAGTTCAAACCACTCAGGACTCCTGAGGAACATGCCACAAGAACTGCAGAGTGGGAAGCGAAAGCTTCCAAATACCGGGAAAGAGACACAAGTCTCCACGCTGGACAACCAGGCCAACGACCACCCTTCCCCACGGGAAGAACGGTAGACCTACCGTACTCCACACCTGAGCCAAGTAGCTCAGGAACACAACAACTGCTCCCACCCAGGGAGCGCTGAAGGAGAGAACGAAGGAAGGTCAGTTGGGAGGTTCAAACGAGACCACCACCAAGCTGTTCCCTGGTTCTTTAGTTAGGATGGGGGAGTGTACTAGTGTTATTTATTGTAAATATAGTACCAATCCGAGTGTTTTGGCTAATTCTATTTTTATGGGTTAGTTTTAAAGTTCCTGGGAATTGACTTACAGATAAACCGAGCCCTGCGGAGCTGTTTCTTTATTGAAATTTCTTAATTTGTCTAGGTGTAATTCTGTGTAGCGTTGTTTAATTTGGATTTAATCTTCTACTTGGTGAAGTTTCAAATATTCAAATCAGTTAATGGATTTGAATTGTGTCTGGAGTGTCCCTTGAGTTTGTTTTATTTTTGTCTTATTTTATTGCTTGTTTTAACAGTAGCAAAATAACTGTTTTATGTTTACACTTTGAAATCTGGAGTGTTAACCAGCTCTCCTGTTGAAATATCTACTTAATATTTCTCTCCTTTATTGCTGCCTTTTACTACAGTGGCAATCTTAACTGTATATCACTTTTTCGCACTGGAGTGACAACCAGAAATGCTTGAGAAAAATAATACTCTATTTTCTTACTTCTCTAAGGGGGGCGAAAAGTCACAGAAAGGGTCTCCCTTTTATACTCCTTGGGTCGCCTTCCTTTTTCATGCTCTACCTCGTATTTACAGGATTTATTTACAGTGTATTTTTCTCAAACTGAATAAAAATGAAATTTTCATGCTATAGTTCTACTGCGCTTTTGCTGCGCTGAACTGCGGTTCTACTGCGGTCAGACTGCGCCTAGAATTCTTATTGTCCTCCCTCGCCTAAGCTATTTTAATGGTTAATTGGAACTTGGCTGCACTGCATTTGCCGCAGTTACCTATTTCAAATTCCCCATATTTACCATTAAGTTCGCTATGACTCGGTCATACTGAATTCAAACCTCGCATTACTATGTGTACAGCTGCACTGAGACCTTCAGCTGATTTATTCCATTTTTATTTAGTGACATTTAGTTAAAATGAGACTGAAATGGTAAATGAGTGAATTATTCAGGTTTAAAACTGAAAGAAAAAGTTGCTAGTAGTCAAGAATTACTCAAACGAATGTGTTATAGCTCTCCACCTCATTAGAATATCGTTCCCTAAAATTCCCGCCATGGCCTGTCATAGTTTAGTAGTTTTCGTGAATTTCGTTCATATTCCTTGATTCCCCTTCGTATTATCACATCCTAATCCTCCATATGTATTGTTCGTTGTTATAGTAGGTCGTCCTCGAAGATATCATATTTTTATGTATTTTATTTAGGGCTCTGGACCTCTTGAAGCTGTCTTCCCACGCGTTTTCAGGTTTCTAACTTCATGTCCTTGTATCTCATTCATTTCTGGATGTTTTCTCACGTTCTTGGTATCATAAATTTTCATTTATTCCCACCTTTCCAATGGTACTAAGGTTGTGTCCTATTTCCTGGTATTCATTGAGTTAGCAAAGATTCGCGTGCACATTTGGTAATCACGTGCGTCGTTCCCATAGTCGTTCGTATGTGGAAGCCGTTTTCGTTTAATTGTTCGGGATTTATGATATGCATGGGTGTTTATTTCTTTCATATGGGCTTCTGTGATTTATTTCAGATTTTTCCCTCATGATCTAAGGTTGTTTTGCACTTTCCATGCTTTGTTTTGACCGGGCTCTTCCTTATTTGGACGGAAATTGGTCTTCGTGATCTGCCGAAGTGCGGATCTCGGTTCCGACGGCCGGTTCCCTGTGCATCGCCACCCTCACGTGTCATTACACATGATGCGGATTCCTATATTCCCGTCATGGGTATAACTTCACAACGGCTGGACCGTTTGGGCTGAAAATTTGCATAACTATAGTTCCCTATTTTTAATAATTTCTGTGTAAATTTCGTTGTATGTTTTAATTATGGATCCTATGCAAACATCGTCTTTTCCCTGAGCTCGGACTTTTGATGTCACTATTCCCGTTATTGGATATCTCATTAACGCATGATCCTTTTATTATGAAACTTTGGGAGGATTAAGTTTAGATCCCTTCCTTTCTAATGGGCTATCAAGCTTGCCTCGGTCGTTACTAGTTAATCTTTGCGCTTGCCTTTTAGACATTGTCCTCGTTTTGCAGGAGTTTTAGTCATATCTCCGTCGTTTATGGGTACTTTCCCCTGTAATTACTCTCATTGGGTCCGTTTGGGAGACATCTACATTTCTTATTATAAACACGACTTTGAATTTTGCATTAATTCCTGAGGAATCCTTGTTCCGTGTACTTCCATCCTTGGCTACGTGTGCAGACGTGGGAAAGTAGTTTCCATGGAGGTTCTCTGGTTATTTTTATAGTCAAATCTTGGTCGATTGTCCTAATTCTTGGTTTAATATTTGCTATAAATTCCCCCGAGAATTCCGTCTTGTT